GAGAGAGAGAGAGAGAGAGAGGAGGAGAGAGAGAGAGAGCGAGAGAGAGAGAGAGAGAGAGAGAGAGAGAGAGAGGAGAGAGAGAGAGAGAGAGAGAGAGAGAGAGAGAGAGAGAGAGAGAGAGAGAGAGAGAGAGAGAGAGAGAGATACGACAAGGTATGAGAGGCGCGTGTCGAAATTTTACAAATGCAGTGCACAATGCACAATCATCAATGCACAATACAAATTTGATCAAATTACAGGCCATGGCTTGAGGCTCTATGCCTTTAGCCACTTAACTCGCATAAACTTATTTGATGCATGATCGGAGAAAGACACATGCATCATGTGACGTTACAATTTAACTCCAAAGAGCCATATGACGTCACCGTCAAACGCCACTGACCTTGTATGACGTCACGCTGTCTGCTGATGATCTCATCACAGAGAGCACGCTGTCGGTCGAAGCGCAGTATCATCAGGTCCCTCCGACGCAGTTCGTGGTCCTTCAGCAGCTGGTTGCTGCGCATCTCAATCTGAAAAGAACGAACATACAACGGTCTTCGTTTGTTGGAACTTGGCATTGGCTTAGTAACTAGTAGAAGAGAGTGAATTTTTCTTCTGTTGGTAGCCCCACTTGAATCACCCGCAATTCAAATGGACCATTAAGTGACCTAACCGTAATAGTACAACTATTGCATATTGCATACCTATTGCATAAACATATCCTGCTTTAGATTTGGCTCCGAAGTGTTTGTAAACGGTACATTGCACTAAAATGGAAGCCCGACAACAAATTAGCGAATGCCCCTTGCACATCACCACAAAAGTCGATCGTATCTTCGACGACAAAACCCTATCATCAAACACGGGAGCGATTTTCCATCTACGCACGACACGTGTTCGATTTACTACGTGTTCTGCCAAGCCACGTGGAGCGTGTCGAGCGACCGGTCTAATTTGAGGTTGAATCGGCTAGTGTCCCTAGCTAAGCGACTATTGATTGAACACGATGATACAGTTTTCAAACAGGCTTCGTTTTCATAGAAACATGCAGTCAATGGACTCGAAATGAACGTATGTATGTGCGTGTAGCTATTACGGTGCTATGTTCCGTGCAAGAGCGTGGACAACAAATAACAATGCCTATGGCTTCGGTCATGAAAGGCGATAACTTGAAGGCAGTGGAATCTCATATACCGATTGCTTATGGATTCTCAAAATCTGCGCAAACATAGGTGATTACGAATTGGTTGACCAAATATGGTTGTTAAAATGCAGTGGGACCAGTGAAGTTGCTGTATTTCTGGTTAATACACCATTTTGCGTTAGCTTTTGACCATTGGACAACACGTTTGTACACATTCGCCATATAGGTGGCGCTACAAATGGGCGGTTGGTAACAAAGAATCACCATTGTGCAAAACTATTCGGCGGTCTTCCTCTACAACTCGACATTGAGCGAATGGTTCAGCATTGTGTAAAACAAATCATCAATGGCCGAAACTATTCGTCATATACCGAGGAGCTAGCTCGTTCAATGCCGAAGCCTGGCGAAGTGTCAAACTGTTTTGCAGATCGCTCATTTCAGTGCTCAATCTGTTTTGCTGAATGGCTGAAATGAAACACACCACGCCGGAATAGTTGTGCTCAATGCCGATTGTCGAAATGGCTCCTCAAACAGTTATGGCGAATGGTTTAATTTAAATGCAAAAAGGTGTAGTAGCAATGACAGAATCAATCGTAAGCCACTTTCTACTTACATTTTCTATCTCCAGCTCATGAGTTTTGAGCAGCAGCTGAAGGAGTTCACGCTGCTCATCTGTTGAAATCTTATCCGGAAGAGTCTGAAACAACAACATATGCATAACCAATCATTATACGCTTGGGTACGCCTCATAAGCGCATAACTATAACATGCGCTGAGGAATTCGCATTGTAACAGTCAAAATTTTAGCCCTCGTCGTAGCAGAACGCCATCATTCACATTGCTTGGAAACGGATGGCTCAACTCTGCTCAAATTGACCTTGAACCCTGACCCCGCGCTGCCACCCTGCCAATAATCGTGCATGCGGCAGTACACTGGTTTCCGACGGGTGACGAATGAGGTCGATATTTGGAATGAAGGTCAGTTGTTAGGCAACCAAGTGTCGTGCCGGTATCGACTGTAGTGGGCTGGATTTGTGGGTGAATTATGGTTGAGCATGTCGTTTGGCTATGGTGACGGCGAGGTGCAGATTGCAGAATGGTGGAATGGGTTATGCTCGCTGTCTTGATAGGCTGATATGGTACGTTGCTGGATTGGTTTAATTGCTCCCTGGCAAAGTTCGTCGCTATCGCTAATTGACGAGACGGAACTGGTTGAACCTTTCATTTAATTAGTATCATATGTGCCAAAACCATTATTGTTAGTGATACAGGGGTGTAGCCAGGATTTCCTCCAGGGGGGGGGGGGGGGCAAACTTACAGGGGCCCAAGGTAAACCCCCTCAAAATCCAAAAAGTCATCGGATTTCATCCACCATTTTTTGGAGGCGGCCCACATAAATTTAAAAAAAAAATATTTAAAAAATGAAAAAATATTAGAACTGAGGGGCAAGCAGTCCATGGGTCCCTGCTAGATAGGCCCACGAATAGCTTCATAGAGTTGCTCAGCCGGTTCTGAAGGCGGTTTTGAGGGCCCTAGCGGCAAGGTCTCAGGCCCGAAAGGCCCCCGCGAACCCAGTGGAGTGCCCCGAGAGGCCCTTACGCTACTTTTATTGTGCCCCTTACCGTACTTATGACACCGCGATGGGGGCCCTTTTGGGCTCTAGGGGGAGCCATGGCCCCTATGCCCCCCCCCCCTTTGGCTACGCCCCTGTGGTGATATCATCAAACGACGAATGTTGTTCAGGGAAGTAGGGAAGGAAACGAGAAAGATGCCTGTCCGTTCTTTGACGAGCTCCTACTATCTGACTTTTATATTCTCTCCGAATTGAAGCAATACTTCGGCCCTATTTCACCAAATTGAGGTATGTTGTCCATCGATCTCAAAAGGGCGTGCGCGAAGAAGTAAAGTTATGGAATGTTGCACTAGCTGCATTTCGTTGCAGGTTGTAAATGTACTAATGAAATTGCCTACCCTGGCATTTTCGTGCTTTGTGGACTTATGTAAGTTTCCATTACTTATCAAACTGTCTTTAAAGGGACTATCCCACCTTCTAAAATGATGTTAAAACCAGTTAAATTGTGCCCGACTTTATAGATTGGATGACCAGGAACACGGTTCTGGCATTTATTTTTCATTAAACATCTTAGGCTTCCCATATTCCAAACACAAACTTTCAAATATGTGACGTCACAGCCCAAAATTACCTCCTTCCCCAGGCCACATTACTGTCATAAAGCTGATTCGTTTTACTCTGTAGGCACCACAACAAAGTTCAGACCAAGTTTTAAGCGATTTTTCAACGAACAAACCCATTTAAATCAGAATGACTAAACGAGGTGACGTCACACTAACGGTAGCTCCATGTTGAAGATAGGGCCTTGTATGTACAAGGCCCATTTTCAAATGAAGGGAACGAATTTCTTCAACACCAAGAGGCCGCGGGGGTTGCAACCTAGATAGATAGTGGTTTCTGAACCTCGCCGCAAACTTGGCTATCTCAACTCAAACCCCATGTTAAAGGTGGGATAGTCCCTTTAATATATTATTGTATTTATGGACACCGTGCAATATTATCCAGAGGATCGGTCACGTTTCTGTACACAACAGGTTTCTATAAGTTTTCTATTTCCAAGCGTCCAACATCAATGAATGTTCCGACTTCCGTTCGACATTACATCGTTCGATCAAATGGAGTTCAGCTAACAAGGTTTGGAGGCAATAATCGGAACCGGCACGTCACAATATAACAGTTACTCAATGAATAATGTTCAAAACATGGTAATAGCAATCAAAAGTTGAATTCCATAAAAACAACGACTTTTCAGTTATCTGTGCCATTCTTCCCATTATTCTACCCACTCTCCTCAGTTTGAGAGTCGGTCATTCCCTTTAATCCCCTGTTAGTTCTCTTTCTATCTCAGCGCCCCTATCATTATCTTGCTTTTCATTCTGCCTGCTTACATATCTGCCACATTTTCACTAATATCGTTCCTCTTTTGTCCCTTTCGCTTGTTTTTCCATCAATGTCTCCTTCGTTCTCATTTCACAAATCTCCTTCCTGCCCAATCCTTTTCGTTTTGCTAGCCATTCAGCCGTCAAATGTTTGTATTTAGCACACCTGTCTCTCTTACCACATTTTCCTCCCCTCTGTCGCCTGTCTCTCTCCACTCGCTCGCTTCCTCCACCCATTTTCCCACCCTCTACCCTCCCCAGCCCACACTGCCCAGCTGTGTTGTGGAGACCCTGCAGTCAACTCCCGGTCCGTTTTAATCGATAAAGCCAGCCAGTGCCTGAAGGTGAACCGCCGAATTGGAACTGCCAGCGTCCGCACAACGATGCACTTTCAAAGGTATACTTTCACGGAGTGGATTCAAATGGAGGATGAATGATAGACTGTAAGCAAAGTTCTTGGAAATGTTGGTGGTGGTGAAACCAGCTAATTTGGATCTGTGTTTTTGTATTCGGACGGAGAGGCTGGGAGTGGTGTTTCCGTAAGCCACTGTTTTGGAGAGTGTGAGTGAGGGCTGTGATGGATAAGGAAAATAAGTTTATTGTTTGGTTTCGCCTGCCTAGTTAGTCGATCAATTACTGTTGTAAAATGAGAATCGTAACAGCGACGAGGAATGGATAAACTTGTTTTTAAGAGGTCATGACAAACAACCTATGATCTAACACCAGCGGCAGCTTATTCGGTTCATCTAAAGTAAAACGATTGTCAAGCAACAACGTCTAATCACTCACCTCCTCTAACTTTTTCGCCGTCTCCTTGACCTCGATCAGATCTGCTTCACAGTTTTTCCTGATGTCTTGGTATCTGAAACACAATTTTATCCCTTCGTCAAAGCTCAGTCAAATGCCGTCTATGTTAGACTCTTCAAACCATGAATTCCCTGCCACGATTTCGGGGTGTACTTACATAGTAATTACGGGGCGGTAACTCAAACAAACGGAAGCAAAGCACGCGAATATGCAGTGAAGAGCAATTTTGGTGGACTGTTTGCAGCACTGGTCACTGTCGAACGAGCTACACTGTAAAAAATATTGACGAGCTATGTGTCAAAACAAGGGTCTCGAAACAATCACCAGGTTGTCAATGCTTCCGGTACCTACCACTTGACTAGTTACCGCTTAGTTAGCTTACAGGCTGAGAACTATCCAAATCGTTATGATCCGGTATTGTAATGATACCCTAGGTGTACCTTTGTTTTGAAGTGCTGAATTAACTATCAAGGTTGTTTGACGTTTGTTTTCGCCTCAATCCGAAACGAGGAAGACCCTTATCAAATTATTAGGTGAAAGCCAGCCTCAGGATGATCAAAATACTAGGGGTAGTTTTGTCATAGTAATCTGTGAAGGGTGAGGAACAAACCGTAGCAATGCACTCGTCACTAAACCAGCCTGAGATTATTCGCCAGGTAGCTGCTGCGTTTCCCTACTTGCTGAATCATATTTGCAACTTTCCATTTCCAGACACTTTTTACGGCAAATAAATTGTTGGGTTATTCGGAAGGTGAATGACAATTTATTTCTATAAGTCAATACATTTGTATTTCCGATTGCCCTAAAACTTTTTTTAATCGTTTGCGGTAGGTTTTTTATTGTTCGCAATAAAGTTGCGCACCTGTGAATCCTTCACTTAATGCGTTCCCGGCTTCCCGGCGCCAGTTGCGCTGTGCCGTGCCGCGTTCGGTCGGGGGTGCGCGCGTCTGTGCAGTGCGAGTGTTTATCACTGGGCAAACCTGTATCGTTTCCATTTGTGCAGTGTCTAGTTATGAAGAATTGCTTGCCGATATATGACCTGCAGTGATCGACATTCTGATTCAATAACTTGCCATAAGCCATTATTCTCAACCAAATCGCGCAGAGACGTTTGCAAAGTTGTCGAGGGGGGGGGGGACAAGAGCGATTTTAAATGAATTGCTCTCCATGCAGTGCAATAGGACTTAGGTTTAATTTTTCGAAAGTTGTGGAGCCGCCCCCGGTGTCCGGCCTGGCCAACTCTCTCAAGAACCGACAGCTAACGGAACACTGAAGTTTCACTACGACGATTTCCGCCAAAGTTATGAAGAAAAGGCAAGTGCAAGAAGTACAAAACTTCTCTTGGTAATCAAAACTTAGGTTTGGCAAATTCCAAACCCTAAGTCACTACAACTGTGGATATAAATAAGCTGGTTATTGACGGCCAAGCTCTGGCCAATCTGAGGTTCAGACCTATCATCGAGTTCATGAGGCAGCTGCGGTTGGGCGGCTCACGGGCTCCACTGCATAGGCTCAGACAGGTACTCTACAAATGTCTTCTGTGTTCTTAGGTTCAGATCTATCGATAGGTATGTGCATGCTTCTGATTCGATTGATAACTGTAAACGGGCGCTGGAAGTGAAAGGTTCGCTTGATATACGAAAGGTGCATTGCAAGAAAGCACATTATTTCAGAAATACACTTTCATTTTATCTTGAGCGTTTTTGGAATGGACCGGATGAATTCGTCATCAAACTGGTAAGGGATTTCGTTTGAAGACCACCGATATTTAATAATATGATGGTCTTCAAACGAATTCGCTGGCAAATTCGATGACTGGATTGGGCGGCGTAGGATCTGCTGGTCATCTGACTATGGATTGAGCAATACGTTAGTTTTGACCTAGTTTGAGCTTCATTCGTTAAGTAGGAACAAGACTATGCTTCTTTTGAGCATCGTCACTAAACAAGCCGCCCTCGTTTTGACATTGTTTTTCGTTATTATTGTTACTAGGTACTTTGTTATCATACACAGCATTAACGAGGACCTGCTTCCAAAACAAGGCAGAAACGCTCCAGCTATTTTTGGGACGTGGTAAAAACTAACCGACACCTGGTAACTGTCATCTTACGAACACAAAACAAGCCAGGGGCTCGTAGCGTGTGTCAAAAGTAGGATGCAAAACTAGTCTGTACCCCCGACATTTAGCGTTGAGAATCATTTGACGAGGGGCTAGTCAATATTTTTTACAGTGTAGGTAAAACCCCTGACGCCTACGCTTTTCGTTAGCTGCACAGCAGTGTGCCTGTGCTATTTCGTTACTGCGCATCATACGTTAGCGATTTCGGGTTACCGCTTCAGTGCACACTGCACATTGTATGTGGGCATTCGGTTACTTAGCGACTCCTTGAGACAATAAGAAAAGGCTTAATACAAGATCGCATTTGATGTTTGTTTGCGTTGCAAAAGCCACAGTTTCAACAGTCAGACCTATCAGTTGGCTGTCGTTTTTAAAAGATTGATAGAAAAGCAAAAACTAACCCCTAATACTAATAAATTATCCAAATCATCCTTTTGCTTATAACGAAGGCGTATATGACTTTGCAAATAGTGCCATTCCTCAGCGAAAACAACACTACTCCCGCATAAACTCACCTGTGTTCCTCCTGCTGTACGTAGCGCAGGTCGTCCATCGCATTGTTCAGATCCTCGTCATCTTCATCTGAAAAAAACGAAAAAGTAATTGTGTGGAAAGAAACAACTGAAGTATTGTTTCATGAAGAGTTATGGTGATAGCTTCTGGTCGGGCGACGATTACAAACTGACAGTGAAAGCTTTGACTAGTTAACAGTGCACATCTGGATATACGATGTCATAATGGCATATATTTTTTTTTTGCTTTTGCAACTATTTTCGCTTTTGCATTGCATAACAATGATAAATATGTATTGCCGAGCCATATTGTTATATCAATTTAAAATAATGAATTGGTTAGATGTGATTCTAGCAGCCCGCTACTCAAGTCTCATTAGCCGATGCTTCATTATGTGGTGCTCTATTATGTGGAGGCACCAGTTTCAAACGAGGTTCCCGAGCAGTGCTCTGATCCGAGCTTGATCCACCCGACCCACCTGGCTGTGTCATCCCGTCACTCGGACTCACCTATGCAATCCAGATCGGTTATTTATTCTCTACCAATAGCGTCAAGGTAAATATTCTCCTTTTCAGCATTTTTACTATTTACCTGGCTGCGTGACTCCGTTGATGGCTCGTTTCCGTTCGACCTCGTTGATAAAGTTGGTCTGCTTCTCAAACTCCATGGCCAGCCAGAGCAGCACGTTGTCGATTTCCATCATCTGCTTTCTGTGAAAGAAAGTGACTTTATTAGACCTACTTCTAAACGTGATTCGCTAGCTTAATTCGTCATGTCTGATGGTAGAAATAAAGTTCCGATGTTTCTACCCCCAAATTCAGGTCAATTCAGTTCAATCCAATTCATTTGTCAAAAATATCCGACTTAACTGCTAATTTTGTCAACGACAGCAATTTCTTACAAAAGCGAATCATTGCAACGGCGGTCTATATTTTATCTGTCACAGCCTTGGAAAGCTGCCACAACCACAATCTTTGCGAAAAGACTAGCATCCAAATTTCACTGATCTTCTCTTGTAGCTTGCACAGTAATCCAATACATATGTATTCCCCACGCTCATTTACCTGAGCTCCATCTGCTCCCTGAAGGACTCCATCAGCTCATTTCGCAGTTTCCGTAGCTCCTCCTCCTGTTCCCGACTGCGGGGCTGTGACGTCATGTCGGGCTCTCTGTCGTGCTGCCAATCAGAGGAGTGAACGTAACTCGTTGGTGATATTTAATCAATTACTCGCATTCTAATTCAACAGGTAACATATTATGGTAGAGAATGAGTACATTGCCTTGATATTACCGATCTTGTTTCCATGATTTATATGGTCGTATTTGTGCATCGGTTTTATGAATGATTTCTCTTTTTTGTTTAGCAAATTATCAAAGTTCATTATGATTAGAAATAGTCAATATCTTCACTAACGAAAATATGTGAAAGGCAAACAATGAAATCGCCCTTTTTAATGTACATGCAACATACAACTATCTTATTCAGAATCAAGATCAGTCAGTGTCGGGCAATCCATTCGAATGAAAGGTCTGGACAGTGAATGTTTAAAATAATAATATTACCTGATCGTCTGAGCTCATCTTGCTCTTGAGTCGACTGATTTCGTTTTTCAGTTCGGCGATGATGGACTGGTACTGTGAAACTTGGTGTGTCACGTCCAAAACGTTTCTCTTGACCTGGGAATGAGACGAAACTTGTCAAATCTCGCATCGGTCGAAATCAGTGCAAGTGACATAGGTAAGGTTATTATCACTTTCAATTATAGTTAAAGTTACTTTTATAATTTCTAAAATCATTGAATACATTTCTTTTTGCTGCATAGAAAAGATTTATGTATAATTCCTTGAGAATAGTGCGTTATTTCTATACCTTTTTTGTTGCTGTTGTTGTTGATGTAAAATGGCCTTACAAGGTTTTTAAATCTTTAATGGGCGGAGAGTGATGGATGGATCGATAGAAATCGTTTATCCGCACATAGGCGCCTTCACCTATAACCTAAGCCGGCTCCGACCTTGTTGGTGATATTCTTGGCTCGGTCCGCGTAGACCAGTGTGTTGAACGTCTCCTCTCTTTGCGCCATGGCGGGGCTGATGTGCGCGATCATAACTGTTCGGCAGTTACCGGAGAGAGCGTCCTTCAGAAGTCTGAGAACAGAGAGCGGAGGGGACTCGGGGTAAAAATGGGGATGATAGGGAGGGAGGGAGGGCGAGAGAGAGAGAGAGAGAGAGAGAGAGAGAGAGAGAGAGAGAGAGAGAGAGAGAGAGAGAGAGAGAGAGAGAGAGAGAGAGAGAGAGAGAGAGAGAGAGAGAGAGAGAGAGAGAGAGAGAGAGAGAGAGAGAGATAAAGACAGAACAAGAGACGAAGGGGTGGCGAGGATTAATGAATACTGAGATAGAAGAAAGAGAGGAAGGCATGTGATTCGAGAATTGAGGAAGGCGTCCTTTTTTAACCCGCGCCCCGTAGGGCTACCGGCGGACCCTACCACCCGTAGGGGGGGGGGCCGTTTCGGCCCCCCCTAAGATCTCGGAAAGTTACCGGCCGATTTTCAAAATTCAAACGGCGTTCGATAGCCCCACCCGGGAACTACCTTGTGACCAAATTTCATTGACCTAGGTCAAACCGATGACGTCACAGGTCAGGTCAAAGGTCAGATTTTCACCGTTCACAGGCAATTAAAGAAATGTGCTGTGAAAGCGAGCTAATTGGTAATTTATTGAAAACCATCGATGGTACATTGTTCGTCAAACACATACCTTGCTATCTGAGGTCACTGATACCAGGTCAGGTCACAGCGAGGTCAGGTCACCGGGGGTCACAATATGAATGTGTCGTGTGATACATGTTTTATGGTCCATTTTACATGACAAATGCGATTATGTGGGTTAGGCAGCCTTTGGGGCCAGCCTAGGTCACTTTTTTGTGAAGGTCAGGTCAAGGTCAGGTCAAATTAGGTCAAATTTCAAAGTTGATATTTTTACATAAAATGGGTATCGATTCGATGCAGCTCGTCACGGGGAGTCTAATGGTGGTCTTCGGTTTGCTCTACGAGTTCTAGAATTGCCAAAAATTGAGTTTGAAAATTTGACGTCATCATTTTTGAACAGTTTTTTTCGCTATAACTTGGCCAAAAAACGAGGTATCGATCTGAAATTTGGTATGTAGACAGAAGACGGTAGGCACTTTCACATATATTCCGGTTTTTTTCGAAATTCAAAAAACTTTTTGGATTTTTTGGCGAATATATCGAAAAAAATGATTTTTTGATTTTTGGGGGTCAAAACTCAAAAATTTCAAAAATTCGAGATAGCAGTTTTGTAGCCCTGTCAATTCTACACCTTTTATGTCTTGATCTTTTTTCTGTATCTTCAAAGCTGTAGTCCTGACAGGTCTTCTCGCGAAGGTCTTTTTTCGGTCGAAAATGACAGAACATGACGTCACTCTGACGTCATTTGTGGCCAACCTATCATAGCCTCTGGAAAATTTTTGGTCACAATGTGTAAAATGGATGCCCGGAGGGGTCCTGAAAGTTTGGTGGCGATATCTCCAGCCGTTTAGGAGATATCGACCGAAAAGGACAGGGGGGGCCGTTTCGGCCCCCCCCCCTACGGGGCGCGGGTTAAATTAGATGGATTTGTGACAAAGAACTCAATCACCTTTCACCTTGCAGTGAATATTTATCACAATACCCGTCCAAAAAGTAATTGTCGAAACATAATCATGAGCAATCATAATCATTAGCAAACAGCATTCAACACACCTCACCAACACTCTCATGATCCATTCCAGCATGTTCAGCCTCTGATAATCTCACCTGGTCAGCTTGGAGTCGCGGTAGTTCACATACTTGGCACCCTTCACCGCCAGCGCGTTGATGCAGTTGCCCAGGGCGAGCAGCGAGCGGTTGATGTGCGCACCCTCCTGAAGGCGCTTACCCTGGTTCTGAGACACACAAACGGTTTGTAAGCAGCCGTTAGGTGCTTGACTGGAGTGAGCGGTGGATACAAAAAAAAAGAACGTAGACGACGAACTACATTTTCCGGGAGCCGGCTGAGACACATACATTAGCCTTTGAGGACAGATGTTGATCAACCTACTGCACCAAAAATAAATTACTTGCACTCCTTACGCACGACCTTGACGTACGTACGTAAGGTAGTCACTTATATTGAACGCTGGGGCCTTAGTGCATTGCCCGATCGGAAGGCTTGTATGCAACGGTTCATAGTTAAAGTGAACTCAAGCAATGCTGTTATTTTCACAGTACCATTAACTAATCACCGGTCTGTCAACGAACAAAGTTTTTCCTTTGTGAGCAAAATGCAACTGCTAGATCAATGCCACCCAGAACCAATTGAAATAAGCATCATGGACATTTATCAGGATTTGTTTGCGCTCATTCAGTGATATTGCGCAAATATATCAACAGTCATCCACTGAATAGATTCATGCACGGCCTTTATACCCACGATCACAAAGCGTTGTTACGGGGCACCATTTGCAAGATCAATAACCCTCAACACACTACGCTGGCGGCTTAGCGATGCCCGACAACAGAAATGTGAATACGGAATGTTATTCGGGCTGAGAAGCATTCACTTACCTTTGAGACCATAGTCAGCATAATAATGCATGGTTTGTCTGAGCTAAGAACCTACATGGGTGATCGCTTTTAACGTGTAAAAGGGCTGTCAGGAGGTTTTTATGGCTGGCAAGCCTAAATGATGCATGATCGTTACGCCTCAATGGCATTGTGCCGACTACTTTATGCAAATTGAGCGGTTCGTAGACATTTGATGGAAAGATTTCGTGGTAAAGTAAGCCTTAATAATTTCACAAGTGAAGTGCAGATTAGAGGTCAAGCATGCACGGCTACTCAGTCGCCTTAAAAAATGTATACCGGTGTGCGTTTTGCCACAACTGAAAATATTTTCCAATTTTACGACTTTTCTTTGTGCGTTTTGCCACCTCTCAAGACATTTTCCGGTTATTTCACGACGTACCTTAGTGCGTTTTGCGCGCTCTGACCCGGCGAGGTCAATCATGTAGAGTCGTCCGACCTTGACCGATTCGTGGATGTCCCTGACTCGGGACTGCTGGCGAACGGTCACCTGTGGAAAGCCGGCCAGGGTGAAACACGCTTTAGTCGCCAAACAGGACTTAACTCTAGGGGAAGCTTTACCGCCATGGCTTTACCCCTGCCACGGGTCAAACCACAACCAGAGGAACAAGGAACAGCTAAGCGTGCAGAGTAAAGTCAACCACGTAGACAATTTGTAATAGGGGAACAGGCATTTACTGACTCATAGACTATTCTATATCAGTAATACAGTAGTCTATGACCAAGGGAATAAGGTTTTATGGAATTGAGCAGAAACGAAAGTGTTCTAAGGGAACAAAGGAGTCATTCGACCTAGCAGGTTCTTGTAAAGTTACGTATAGTCTGTTGTAGTTCTTTGTGGAACACATTTAGAAAATGGGGGTAGATTTCGGTAAACTGTGCTTTATGGAGGCACAAGTTCAAGAAAGCGGTTAAAGGTTACATGAGGGTAGCATGTTCACATGTCTTTCGCTGGCATATTCGCTGATAGTCGCTGTATTTGAGATACCGCAATACATGATGAAAAAACGCTCATGTAAAATTATGACTTCTCATTAGGACGATGTTAAGTTACCGGATTTGGTTCATTTAAGGTTTGAAGAATGTACGCACGGGCTTCTGCATTTAGTCATGCTATGGCACTGCAATCTGCAAGTCACCTAATTGCAAGTATGCACCTACGCGATTTCACGGCAGTATAACGTACGCCAGTACGACAGTTGAGCTCACCATGAGAAGCGCGTGACTGCGAGATGACGTACTGTTGGCTGCCGTAGATTCCATAGTTCTCTCCTTGTTACCTTTGGTCAACAGCTTCATCACCTGTTCGCAAGACATCCGGTTAGTAAATCGTAATGGAATCGTGCAGGTGATTGGTTTCTGCTGCAGTTTGTGTGCGGTTTTAATGAACCTAATTACGGCCGCAGTGAATTGCAGGGCAACAAATAAAGGTGTCAATCTTGCTGGCTGTGACGCTAAAATCCATAACTATTGTTTCCGGAAACTGTAAAGCACTTTTTTAATCAGCGTTTTAACTGTTACCCCTCATAAAGTTTAATGAACAACAGGTGACTCTTTTTGGGGTTTGGGTGGAAACAAATTGTTTTACAACATATCACACAAGACAAATCTGCGACAACCAACCAACCTCCCTAATCAAGTCACATCCACCTTACATTCGACATCACTAGCTGATTTTCGCAGCCGACTCACCTCCTTCGTGTTCATGGTGGAGACCTCGGAGAGACCGGCCACCTCGATGGTGCCCTTCTTAGCGTCCTCGCGCAACTCCAGCGTGCCACTGCTCGGCTTCAGAAGGTCGCGGATGTTCTCGTTATAAATCTCGAGGTAGCTGAGACTCATCTGTAAACGATAGGCATGCCGCATGATTTTCAGTATAAATAAGCTAATATTGAACACTCACACTTGATGTATCGAACGTGACCGGAAGTGTTTCGATAATCGATAACTCCATTTATTTTCGCATTTTGTCTGTAGCCGGCTGGAAGTCGGCAATTACTTCAACAATCGGCCCAGACCCGTAAACTATGCCATGGAAAGGTGGCTTTCACAATCGCCAGAGGTTTTGTGTCAAGTGCTTTTTACATTTCTTCCTTTTATTTCGTCACGCAGGCATTCGAACCGCATTAACAATGTCATTTAATTTCATGTCATCCGTACCTTGAACTCGAGTTCGTCCTTCTTTTCGGCCATGTACTTGAAGAGGTCGTTCATTGCCCTGACCATGATCCCCGGCTGTTCCACGGTTCCGACCATCGTGTACGTTTTACCGGCACCTGATTAAACGGGGATGTGGCGGCAAAATTAGTGTGTTTTCTCTTCGGTATGCGTTGGACGAAATTGGGAGATTGTTTCTCTTCTTGAGTATTCGGCAATCGACATACTGTCGAAGTGGCGTAGGTGCGAACAGGAAATCTATATTATGCTTCCTTCCATATACAAGCACAAATACATATTTTGTACAAAAGTATATTGAAAAAAATGTTGGTATGCCACAAATGAATAGTATCAGCTTCTTTCTAACTTTCTGTCGGCTTACCTGTCGGCCCGTAGGCGAAAACTGTGGCGTTAAATCCCTGAAGAACGTCGCCGATCAGCGGCTTGGTCGTCTTTTCGTAGAGTTGTTTCTGGAAAACAAGTCTCAGTCTTTCCTACAGCTTGTCGTGGATTTGGATAATTGATGTGATTATGTCACTGTTGCAGAGTGAAAGGTCTATGATACAGGCTGTATAAAAATGTATGTCAACCTTGCAATGCTGCACCGAATAATTAACCTACCGGAACAGCATGCAGAGATTCAGACACCGGGAACATGATACTCAAAAGATTCATCGTCGTTTTTGCATAATTTTCGCACGTATATGTTTTCAAGATACGAGTATAAATCAGCATAGAGACACTACTCAACGAGTGAAATAATTCACTACGTCACGCTGGATAGCAATTAAAATTTAACTACGAGCCAGAATAAGCGTTGACACCTGAGTTTCACACCTGTGACGAATCCTCTCCGAAAGCCAAGTCATAAACAAAGTGTTTTTCGTGGCGCCTCTTTTGCCGCAGGACGTCATTTTTGTCTCCGTCGTTCTCCTGTAGCGTCACCATCTGTGGACAAAAATGGCGCAGTTGGCGAAACAATGCGCCATTGGAAACGGCGAGGTCCTCACAGCCTGGCGCGAGCTGCCTTTGTTAGGGCAGTGCATGGAACTTTACTGCGCACAGTTTGGTAGGTATATTACTTTTATTAATTTTGGTATTTGGTCAACCGCCTCCTGCGGGCAAATTGCTCCGTAAAATTGCAGCTCCGCAGCAATAGCTGCTGTTGCCGGTTCTGAAACATCTGAAATATGTGCTCATTAACCCGCGCGGGGCTGGGGTCTCCAGCCGAACGCGCGGGGCTGGGGGGGGGTAAATTTTACCCCCTTGTTATCTCCCGAACTAATGGTCCGATTTGGAAAATTCAAACGCCAATCGAAAGCTCTCATCACGAACTACTAAAAACATGTACTTAATTTAAAGTTTGAGGTCAAGGTCAAGGTCAGGTCAAGGGTACAAATTGCAAGTTTCTACAGTATCGGCCTTGCACCGTAGTTGCCGAAGAATGGAGTCATGGACTGAGACTGATCGCCCAAAACGTGTTCTTAGGCTACCAAGACAATATTCGTTGCATACAATATCATTCAGAGGTCAAGGTCAAGGTCAGGTCAGGTCAGGTCAGGTCACCAAAAAACAAAATATAGAAAAGGACATGTGCGACACATGTTTTATGGGTCATTTTACTCATAGAATTCAAAAGGCACACTCAATAAGTGATATGGACCACCTCTGGATGAATTTCAGGTCGAGGTCAGGTCAAGGTCAGGTCAAGTGAGGTCAAATTTTGAAGTTGGTCGTTAAGGCCTAAAAAGGTGTCTATCTGATGCAGTTTTTCACGACGAATCGAATGGTGCTATTTTTGTTTCCGTACGAGGTCTAGAACTTCCAAAAAAGTCATTTTTTCAAAAAATTTGTGTGTCGTGACGTCATAAAATTTTGAATAACTCCCACATTTTTGAACCGATTCTTCTAAAATTTGGTATGTAGGTGCACATAGACCACTTCTCTGATATATATTCCGGTTTTTTTGATAGACTCAAAATTTTGGATTTCATAATGATTTTCCCAAAAAAGTCAGTTTTTTGAAAAAATTTAGGCCAAAGTCCAAAATTTTCAAAAAACCGAGACAGCCATTTGATAGACAAAGTAAAATTACGTATAACCTTTTTTGTTACGTCTTGATTCCTTTAAAAATGAAGATGTTAGCGGCGTTTGAACTTTTGCCGTTTTTGAGGCGAAAATGGCGAACATGACGTCACTAAAACGTCAATTTCTCAAAAAATTTCCGACGGATTTCGCTCAAATTTTCAGGGAACGTGTCAAATTGATGTAAGAAAAGGTACTGAAAGTTTGGCGGCGCTGCGCGCCGCCGTTTTTGAGATATCGCAAAAATTCGCGAGGGGGGTAAAATTTACCCCCCCCAGCCCCGCGCGGGTTAAGGTGCTCAGTTTACTTCGTTGCCTGGTCCGGCAAGTCATACATGAAATGCTGATGAAAGGTGATTCGTTGCCGATCGATATCATGTAAAGCTTTTTTGCTAAGCAGTAAGCACTAACAAACTACCATGATTTTCGGCATTAGGAAATGCATGTTGTAACAGCAAATCCATCGTTAGCGCACACACACACACAAAAAGATATCATTCGCGTGGCACAGTGAACATATGATTTAGGGTTTTGCAGACTTTCTTTGCCGATAAGTGAACGATTCATTACGAATGAATTTGGAAAAAACGATATACGATTGCTGACGAACTTTTAGAAATAGGTGTATCGAAACCTCTCATGCATAAAAAATATGTGTGAAGAAAGCCCTTTGAAAACGCTGATAGAGATAACCGTACTTCCAGTTATCTCTCTCAGCATTCAACCATGTCCCAGCTAAACAATAACATTTTCAAGTACACCTTTGAAAATCTTTAGCCAATGCCTTCTCGTCGCCTTGTTGTTCAGTTCTTACCTTGTCATCTGAGGCCTCTGCCACCCGCCCTCTCGCTCTTTCGGCCGGTGCCAGGGGACGAACCCGCACTGCCACCTGTCGGACAAAAATGGAAACAGGTAAACATGGGAGACAATGTGAGATATGAAACGATGGAGGACTTGCTAGGCGAAAATTCAAACGATCGTCTTATGAAAAGCTACATTTTGAAGATTGGGTTTCGTTTCCTCAAACACTAATTCGACTATATAAGGTTATATTTTGCCAATATGTCAGCTTTTTCAGTTTGGCTTCCAATACATATTCCTATATTCGCGATCTCACAACGTACGTGTTTGATAATGATGTGGCTATATCTTGCAGGTCGAAAGTAAAACGCCGTGGTGAAAAACCCAGTGATGTATGATGGCAAAAAAAATGAAATCCAACTGGGCGGTAGACTGTCCCGCAACACTCGGGCGTCCGGCGGGTTAGCTATCAGTCCAGGCTACGCGCATCAGGCGTCTATCGGGCAGCGATTCGGGCAAACTTGCGTGCATGGCGAATGCCGATGTTCTTAAATAAAGATTTTGCTGGAAACGATTCCGGTAGCGCTACTACTTAGACATTCAATGATTAGAGCAAAATGATAACCGATAGTGCCATAAATCAATAATTGGCACGGTATAAACTAAAATAATCTTCAGCCCTATTCCAAGGACGAAAACATTAATGTAATTTTAATCCGAGATTTATATTTGCTATAGCACGCCTGAAAATCGCATTAATCTTTTGCCACTTGGTGCAGGATCCTATTTGATTCCTCTATATAATGGGTGTTCACTAAAAATTGACACAAACTTTGAATGGCTGCATATCAAAAGTGAAGCAAGCTATTACGATGCAACTTAGCATAGAGATAAAAGGGACGTTTTTATCATACCGAGCATAAAATTTCACAGATGTAATGAAAACAGTGGCGTTGGAGGTCGTTTTAAACAAGGACTACCAAAAGCCAGTTGGCAGGCTTTCCCAAAACAGCACGTCAATGGGAGAGTTTGACACGTACAAATACCTAATGAAAACTTAAAATGTCAAAATTAGTTACATACCGTACAGTCGGACGAAAGTTCTAGAGGGTGTGGGAGTCCGAAAAGCTGAAGTGGTGTAATTGTGAAGATATTGACCTGAGGAAGGGTCGGGGCCCCGAAAATGCACGTTGAGGGGCTTTTTGACACCTCACGGCGCAATGCTGCTGATCAGTAAGGTATTAACTGTGCCTAAGCGAAGAAGATATATCACACCTGAGACTAGGCTGAGTTACAACCGGCGCAAATGATTTCTCGAAGCGACTGGGAACAACATAAGGCCAGAGAAGTAAATATGCTATGGTAAAAAAAGGGACAAAAATGCAGAAAAAAAGTTAAACTATTTAAGGTAGAAAAATCATATTTTTAGTTAAAGGGCGACAATTAACTAGACAATGGAGTGTTCTGTTGTGATGTGATCGATGATACAAGGGCTACCGTCCAATTAAGTGTCAGCATGCAAGCTATCGCTGGATGCCGTGGTGTATGTGTTATTTCAGAGAATATCATCAGTTTGACTTTATTCCTCCAGACTGGTCCTTTGCAATATGATACTTTTTGAGCCAAGTGTATTATTAAGCACTAGAGGTTCAAGCAGAACAACATATGTAACCAGAAGGTGATGTTCTGGTCCGACCTCGCGCCAGCACACTAACCAAGGGGCGCCTTGAGGGCCCCGGCCAATGTAAAAATTCCCATTGGAACGAGACTCGATAAGTCATTTTCCACGCTTGAAATTTAACAAATGAGTATCTAATGTGATTTGCCTAAGGTTATACCGTATGTTGGTGTCTTTCGATTTCATACAAAATATCAACTGGTTGCTCATTACCACCATCAACTGGCCAACATCACGGTCCACTGGTGCCAGAGCTTGTGACAACACTTCCAAGGAAATGTCCAAAAAATGGCCTATGGGGATCAGGCAAATCTGCTGACGCTCTACGGCTTGCAGCAGATGCAATGTGCATTACAACAATGCCTCGTTTGTTTCAATCGGTACATTTTTACCGAAGATACAGCCTGCTAAACTTTGTCTCAATTTTTAGTGAACACCCTATACTTGTCTTTAGGTACTGATAGGTAGGTATATCTGACGATGTCTATTGGGCAAAATGAACATATAAAATGTTAAGAATCTGCATTTGAATGTTTTTAATGAATGATATGGTAAAATCGGAAGTTTTTTTTTCAATCGGAATAGTTCGACGCACAAAACTGAACCCCTCTTACCATGTTTTGAATCAGCGCATCTGGAGAAAATTTTTCCAGCAATCACACGAATTCATTCCATATGCAGGACCTACGATGTCCCTAAATAGCCAAAAACGTTCAGCGAGTATCATCACATATTTTATCACCCCCGAAATACACCCACCCTTCCCAAACAACAAAGACGACTCGTCGTATCCGATGGTCGCAGCACCCGTCCCGCGATCGCTCGGCACTGGCACCGATTGAGGCCGGATTCATTTCCGAACTGCATAGATGCCGAGGCGATAAAGGCTTGGCTGGTTTGCCCCAGACACGCGATCTGGAGCTCGCGAAGGGGACGGACGTTGGCATTGGCGAACAGCAAGGGATCGGGCATTGGGCAAGGGCATACAATTGCATTGGGAATGCGTGGTGTGAAGTTTGTTTTCTATAAAAAAAAATTCGTTTATTTTCAAAAGGACGCTGGCTCCAAGTATGTTTTTCGAACAAGCACGTGTTTTAGCGAGCAAAACAAGCAAAAACTGAACCTGAGAAAATCGAACGTCGACTAATTTTAACATGTGATTTCTTCCCGATAATTTCCATATGTGCGTTTTGGAACCAGATATGAGAACAGTGGTGACGTCATGCTGTCGAACATGTATTGCAATGTAACGTATAACTATCATGGACGGAACCGCTTGCTCGATTATAAGCTCGGCAACAGTGAAAAACTAAGTTTCACCCAAATTCGTTGACACTTGTCCCATTGCACGGACATTTGGGTGCCTGCTGCCACCAGTGACGTCATCATAGTATGTTCATTTTTAAGACACAATTTCCAGCTACTTACCGTGCACAATTTGAAATCGATTATTTTTTCGGTAAGAAATTATTGGCCAGACACTGAAGCTGCCAAAACTCACGTGAGAGCTTCGATATTGAACTTTGAGCCAGCGTCCTTTTGAAAAAAAAAAACGAACTATAGCTGTTTTAGGAATGTGTGAGCGATGTGGTTAAACTGTAAGGTACCTACCTCCTGTAAGTATGCATGTGATACTGAGTTGACTACAAATGGAAGGTAGACATGAAAATGAAACTCATCCACCAAACTGCTCGTTTACGTTAAAGAATTGCAAGCGGTTTTAGGTGCTTTTAGGACTATTGTTGCGTTTATTTATAGTTGCAGCATTCATAAAACGGATACTTTATTGATACAGCTCATAAACTATGAAACCCGAAAATAAAGGGCAGACCTGCTAGGAACATGGATACCAATCTATGAGGTACGTTTCATTTGAACATGTATATACGATGGTAAATGAAAAAGCTCAAAATATAGCGTTGCTTTTCAAGTTTGCTATAGCTATCCGAGCTCTCGCGATCAAGGCCAACCGTTGCAAGTCAAGTTGCAATGCCATGGCTGCATAGTACATACGCTTTCATGGATGGAAAATATGTTCAGCTTCCTGAGGCTCGTACCCACTGACCCCTAATGACGTCACCAGACTAATAATCAGCTGACTCAGTCGCCGCGGTAACGCAGTGCAGCTGAAATCACTCGCTGCAGGCTACAGGCAAGGAAGGGGAGGCCAAAGGTACGGGGAGGGGCAATAACAAGGCCGTTATTCCGGGCATTTACCCGGTGAGCAGTTATGGCTCATAGAAGTCATCCACTGGTGGAAATAGTGATTGACCAAGCTCTGACCGGCCTCGGAGTCAAATGAAACTTGGTCGATGAACAAGCGATTAACTAGGCCGTGAAAGGAGCGTGCCATCGGCCTTGAAACACCGATCGATGGACATCCATGAACATAGGAATACGCGTTTAGTACTATCCGGCATCAATGGGTAATGAGGTAGTGGCATCTTCCTTCCAAGGCGGAAGACTGCAGCACGGTTCATCAAACCTTCAGCAGAAAAGTATGGGCAAAACACCATGCGCATTGACATGATGCTCCGATTTTTTGCTGCATTCCACGTCCCGTCCCAGCAGGCCTTATTTTCCACTTTTAGGCGTAGATTTAGTTATTCTTATTTCGAAGTCAGGCATCGACGATTCGCAAGTCCCCCGTTTTCTTCGTCTCATCCATTGCCGTTTACAAGACCAAAATCATTATCTGTTTACAAACACAATCCGCCGAGATATTTTAGTCTCAATCGTCCCCAATGCCTGATTCATCAGGCTGCATTTTTCAGACCTTATCACTGCTTAATCGCAAATCTTTCCGTAGGTACCTAAACCATCGTCGTTATCCGAGTCGTAACGTCCCCATTTTGTGTCCTAGTCGGCTAGTCGTCACTATAACTGTGTACTGTAACCCCGGCTCGATCCGCGGTGCCCAGGAACGAAATACCGTTGCTAGTGACGCCCATGCCCACTGGGGGGGGGGGGGAACGTTCGATACACGGATAACCATGCTGTGTGCACCCCGCTGCAACCAGTGCGCCGGGGCTAACCAGGGGCGGAGCCAGACCCATGGAGGCGGTAGGGCTTGGGGCGAAATGCTAATCCTTTCATGACTAGTACTGCGAGACGAAGAATGCGAGACTTGTAAAAACACAGACAGTCAGGAAATCGTTTTACCAGTTCTTTTATAGTTATTGCTCTTCTGGAGCCGCTTTTGTAAAATATCTTGCTTGATTTTAGTCCCTTCATAAAGGCAGGTCCGAAGAGCCGAGGCTTATTTCATGACAGCTGAGCACCTCTTGAAAAAAAAATGCCGCAGTAATAAAGAATGTGTGGTGTAATGTGTACCTATGTGACGAAATGAATGCCCTAGAGCTATACCTATTTGTTGCCTTAC